CGCAGCTTTACTAGTGAATTTCTTGAGAGACATTACACCGCCTAAAATCTCTCAGTTCATCCCGATCCCAATGGCGATGGCTGTCCCATTCTACATTGGAGCGTACTTTGCCATTGACATGTTTGTTGGGACTGTGATATTGTTCGTCTGGGAGCGGATCAACAGGAAAGATGCAGACGACTTTGCGGGTGCAGTAGCTTCAGGACTGATTTGTGGGGACGGGATCTGGACAATTCCTTCTGCAATCCTTTCGATCTTAAGGATCAACCCGCCCATTTGTATGTACTTTGGACCGTCTTCGGCAAGTTAAACAACGGTCGTAATCGCAATCGCGAGTCATAGTCAAAAGGAAACTTATCTGAGAGTCTCATGGCCGTCAGAATTGAATCAATTGTCTTCATATGTTGTGTAGATATGGTTAGAATATCTCAATTCGCAAGAACAAAATGTTGTTGCAAATCTCTTTAAATGTTTAGTCAATGTTGTTGTATGTCCCCGAGATGTTGTTGTCTCTTTGAATGCTCTCATTCTCAAGCTCAAAGAGGGTTTAGTACCATTTGCATTTGTTCAATCATCGTAAGGAGAGTGTATACAGAAATATTGAACAGGTACAATTCCAATTAAAGTCCCAAAAAAAAGTTCATGCTATTGTGGGTTTTATATATTTTTGTCTTTGGATCTAGAAGACCGAAACCGTATGAGAAGTTGAGAATCAAAAGTGAGAGAAATGTCAATAATGTTTTTAATCATAGTTATCACAACCCACTAGACAACATATAATGATCTTTATAATCATAGTTTAGTATGAGATTTATTCACCAATCAAAATAAATTTCAAATATATGATATGAGTATATGACATTTTGGTGATATCAAAATCTTTAGTTGATAGTTTGACAACACAACACCGTTATTCTAGAATAAAAACAACAAAATCATACCAAAAAAGTAACTAAAAATATTCAAGTATCAAAAATACTACAACTTAACATGCAAGTTGAGGTTTTAATATATGGTGCCACTCTCATAAGATAAGTAAAAGTCCAATTATGTGATCATTAGAGTTATTGTAATTCTAGTCTGTATAGTTGTTAAAAACTGTTAAGAAACTGTAAAATGTGTAATGATGAAACTCCAATCTTAATCTACCATAATTGGGGCACGATTGGTGGAGATAATCGTGGCAGAAACTCTTGAATAATATTGGTTATTAAAATTATTGAGAAAAAAACGTAATGTCAAATAAATATACTGGTGAGAGGTAAACATAAACAAAGGATGTGTCATTATGAATTCTGATGACATTTATTTTAAACAAAATAAAATGAAAGGTTAGTAACAGTTTAAATAATATGGATGAAGATTATCTTGATTAAGTGACCAATCATATTGCACCAATTTCGAACTGAAAAATGAATGAAAAAGTATATACTCCATAAATTAAAAATCATGCACTTTCGAACTATTGACATTAATACACATTCTCTATAGTACTTTTTCTCCAGCTCGATTATGAACTTTTACGAGTTATTGGAAATGGTAGTAAAGGAAATAGGAGTTATAGGAAATGGAAATAGTTGAAGTAGAAGGAGAGGAAGCCAACAAATAAGATAGATTTTACATTACTAGGATATAACCCACGGTACACTGCGGAACAATATTATATTTTAAAATTTTTATATCAATAAAAGTTATGTTCAATAAAAGTTATTTTAAATTTATAATATTTCATCTTAATTTAATTTGTTTTGCTGAATAATATATTAAGAGATATAATTTTTTGTTTGTCACATGTGCATAGAATTTTACAAATAAGAGTTAGTTGTTCTAAAGTAAGAAGGTCTATACATAATATTTGTTATATCATAGGATTTAACCTACATGAAATAGTTTACAGGTTTTCTTAAAGTTAGTATTTTAATTATATGATTTATTATTTTTAGTTTGGTAGATTTAACCCGTGGATCCGTGGTCCATGTAAAGTTTAGTAATTTAATTGATTATCCATATTAATTTATTTGAACAAAATATACTATATGTAATTAACGTAGAATATAAATATGAATATTCACTTACAAAACTTTTATTTTTTAATTTTATTAATATATAATAATATATAGTTTTCAAATCTAAATCTAGTCATCAAAAAATAGTTTATTTGTTTGGTACTATTTAATTCATTTATAGTAATTTTGAAATAAATTCGATATGGTGTTTCCTTAACCGAAGAAACCGATTGTTTATTGTCCACCGAACTAAATCAAACCGTAAGCTAAACACCAATTAGAATTTTGCCAATCAATTCTCGTCTTATAATCAATTCCATACATATTTTTTCGGAATTCTATATATATTTTTCTTGATACATATATTTTTTTCTATTTCGTTCAACTTTTTATATGTAGAAACCTAGTATAATGCCAAAATCTCTAGCAAAATAAGTATTTATGTTGTTTGGCTCTACATAATTAGGAAATGGAATTGATGGTTGAACAAAATAATTTTTTGGTGACTCATTTTGTTATATGGGTCTGTGTGTGTCTTTTACTTTGGGAGCATAATTCAATCCAAAAATTTCATATGCACCGACTCAAAAATTGCATTTTTTTTTTTTACTTTTTATACAAACGCGACGATTAGTTGTCAACTTATTATTATTAGTACAAGTTATGTAAAAGACATATTCAATATATTTCTTCCAAAAATGATATAATTCATAACACTTACTAAACGATAAAATTGTATCATTCACCAACTAATCAATGAATAACTATTTGCCAAAAAAAAAATGACTCGTAAGATTAGGAATTTTACTTACGGTTAGATATGGTAGGTATTTTCATTTTCCATTAAACTTCACTTATAGTTAACAAAAAAAGGAAATATTATGGTTTTGAAATTATATTTAGTGTACATTTAAAATTAATTCATTTATTGTATTTAAGTTTTAAAAATCTTTTGGATGGCATGGATGCACATCTTATGGATCTAAAACTCATTATCCAAATAAAAATACCATTTGAATGTAAAACTTTTAGATTTGACACTTAAATAGAGAAAGGTAAATAGTAGAATTGATTGGTGACAAAGTAACACGACATTATCAAAATATCATTTGGTTTTTAGAGGTAAATAGAAGAGATGCATGTAGTTGAAAGTGATTAATTCTGACTAGTTTAAGAAATTTTGACTTATTTATCTAGGTTTAGTTGTACAATACATTTTCTGTTATAAATAAACTTTTTGGGGACTAATTCTTGGGTTTTGAAGAGTAGTTGAACCGTAAATCTTGAGACACGCACACACACCAAATTAACAACACTTGACATGTATGATTAGTGTATTACTATATTAAAACGTGATTATGAGGGTCATTAATATATACTATTAGAATCATACCTTTAACTAAAGCTAGAGAGTAGTTAGCTCAATTAAGATTAACTGAAGTCTAAGACTTAATGAGTATAGTAGTTATGATGAGATGCGAGGTGCGAGTAAAAAAACAGAAAGAGAAGAGAGATGGTATGATGTTGTCGGTCCATAAATGATGAAACTCTCAAACTCAATTCAATCTCTTTAGATCTTTCCCTACAAGCTAACCAAACTCTCTCTCTTGGTGTGTCAACAACTCATTGATCCAACTTGATAGACTAGCTAAGGTATACTTCCTTCTTAGAGAAGACGTTGACTTTGACTACTGTTTGTAGGTAAGGTGCTCATACTTTTATTTTCATTTGGCTTAGGGCAAGAAGGGAGATACTTGAGAAGCATTACTAAAAATCATATTCATAACTTGAACAAGCTATTTGTTAAATTTAAACCATACTACTCCCTCTGTATTTTTATCAGTTGTCTTTCTTAATATATTTTTTTGGTTTCCATATTAGTTGTCGTTTTAGATTTTCAATGGAGATGTTTTATAAAAATTCCAGTTTAATCTAACTGTTTTAACGTATCAACCAATAAGAAAATCAGAAATACACTAAAGGAGATTAATATGTGTGAACAAATAACTAATAGAAACAAAAGAGTATTATTTAGTGTAAACTTGATTATGTTTCCATCCGTCGCGGATAAGAAGAGACAAATGTCCTGTTAATACGCGGTGAAACGTTATATTGATTTTTTTTAAAGTGTTTAGGTCATACATCTCTTAGACTTTAAAATTCAACAATAATTTTTTTGACATTTGACACTGAAGAATAATTTTTTCCCAAAACCTAATACTTTTTTTTCTTAACATATTCAGTTACAATAGCATTTTTTTTCTTTCTAAATTGAGTTAATTACTCAATAAGGACTTTTCTCAATGGCATTTTTCTTTTTGTCATTTTCTGTTAAATATTTTAGATTTGTCACTTTTATAGATCTAAAAATACAATTCTACACATTATGTTTGGGTTTTCTTGGTTCTATTTTTTCTTAGGGTTTAGTATTTGTTATGAAGTAATTATTTTTATCAAAAAAAATCATAAAATCAAATATTTAAAAAAACTTAAAAATGGAAAATGTATAAATATTTAGTAACAATGGCATATTCATAAAATTTGAGTGAGAAAGTCGCAAAATCCATAAGAATCCCTTCTAAATTACATTTTTTGAAATAAAACAAATCCTGGCAATTCAAAAAAAAAAAAAAAATACTGGACAAAGTCATTGACTGTATCTAGTGGGAAATGAAGTGGCAGTTCATTTAGATTCTCTCAATTACCTTTGAATTTAAATGTGAAACGGTCATTACTTTTCTTCCTTTACGGATTTGTTTGGTTACTTTGCTGTTTATAGGTCTTTAAAAAATGTCAGCACTTGGTGAGAAGAAACCTATGAAACTCACTATCTCACTCTGATACTACAAAAACAAAAACAAAAATAAAGTAAAATAAAAAGAAAAAGACAAAACCAAAGTCTCGTACTTTTAAGTGTTTTCTCATTTCTTTTTTGACCCATTTCAAGAGATCGAAAGATGATAACTTTCTCTTTTCTTTATTCTTCTCCATTCTCTGCATCGGGATCTTACGAGTTCTCTCTTTTAAATAAATTAGTAAATTCCCAATAAAAGTCACTGTTAAATTTTTTTCTCAAAGTCGATACCTTTTTCTTCTCAAAGTCACCACAATTCCACAAAACCCTTAATTGAAATTGAATCCCAAGAAAGAGAGAGAGAGAGAGAAAGAGAGGATTTTGATTAATTTAAGCCTGGACCCTGAAGTCCCCACACAAGGCTTCGATGGATCCCAAGAACCTAAATCGACACCAAGTACCAAATTTCTTGAACCCATCATCACAACCACCACCGCGGAACCAGGGCATGGGACTTGACGACGACAACAACATCAACAAGGACGAGAATCGGAAATCATCATCTACTACTGAGATTAAAGATTTCCAGATCGTGGTCTCTGCTTCTTCCGACAAAGAACCGAACAACAGTAGTACTAAGAAGAGTCAGAACCAGCTTGGTCCTAAGAGAAGCTCTAACAAAGACAGACATACTAAAGTCGAAGGTAGAGGTCGGAGGATCAGGATGCCTGCCCTTTGTGCTGCTAGGATTTTTCAATTGACTAGAGAATTGGGTCACAAATCTGATGGTGAAACTATCCAGTGGCTGCTTCAACAAGCTGAGCCGTCGATTATTGCAGCTACTGGTTCTGGAACTATACCTGCCTCTGCTTTAGCTTCTGCTGCTGCCTCTGTTTCTAACCATCATCATCAAGGTGGGTCTCTTACTGCTGGTTTAATGATCAGTCATGACTTAGTAGACGGTGGTGGTTCTAGTAGTGGTAGACCACCAAACTGGGGTATTGGTGGCGGTGAAGGAGCTTCTAGGTCTAATTTACCAACTGGGTTGTGGCCAAATGTAGCTGGGTTTGGTTCTGGTGTGCCAACCACTGGGTTGATGAGTGAAGGTGCTGGTTATAGAATTGGGTTTCCTGGTTTTGATTTTCCTGGTGTTGGACCTATGAGTTTTGCTTCCATTTTGGGTGGTGGTGGTGGGAATACTCATCAGATGCCTGGACTTGAGTTGGGGTTGTCTCAGGAAGGGAATGTTGGTGTTTTGAATCCACAGTCTTTTACTCAGCTTTATCAACAGATGGGTCAAGCTCAAGCTCAGGCTCAAGCTCAAGGTAGGGTTCTTCAGCATATTCATCATAACCATGAAGATCATCAGCAAGAGAGTGGTGAGAAAGATGATTCTCAAGGCTCAGGGCGTTAAAGTATTGGTTTTTATCTTCTGGATTTGAAAAAGCTTTTGGCTTTTGTTTTGTGATAATATTGTTGTAATTTTGTACCAACCATGGAGAAGAAAAGAAAAGGTTATATACTGAGTGAGAATGGTAATCTATACTTATTGCAACCTCTGCAAAAAACACAGGTGAGCTCAATTTTGAGGATGATGATACAACTACAAGAGAGTGGAATCTTCAAATTTTTTTCTGAGTGTTTGTGACGAGTTTTGTTTTGGCAGCTGTTATTTGAACTTGCAGGTGGAGTTTGTTAATACACAGAGCCAGCGATTTTTACTTATTCTGTGTTTTGTTACTTTTGAATATGAAGAAGAAACCGGCTTTTGATAGTACAACAATGGTAATGTATACTTGTCTTCCATTACATTTATGGAATGAAGATTACAGTTTTACAATGAGTTCTTCTCTGAATGAGTTAAAGACTTTTGTTTAAAGTCAAAGTGTAAAAGACTTAGCTGCTTGTTCTGATTCAGTGGCTTTGAGCTGCAATGGATTTGACAATGATGGTGAAGTTATATTCTTTAACTCTTTTACTTTCAATGTTACTGCTCTCAGTGTCTTTAGCATCTCTGATTGAATATGTGTGTGATGTGAAGTTGATTATGGAAAGGTTTTGAATTGGTACAAACCCGATTAAGCGGTTGGGAACCAAGTAAGCTGTTTTCAGATCAATCGAGTCTCACTCTATAAAGTATATACAGAAGCCTATTTTTTCATACTAGAGAAAGTTTATATAACTTTCACCCATTCTGACTTGAATCTGACGGAACCAAGGAAAGAGAGAGGTGAAATTAGGTAATTAGCATAAATACAGGTGAAATATCGTGTTAATAAACTAAAACAAAGACTAATCAAAAATCAAGAAAAGATTAACAAGTTCTCCAAACTGCCCTAACAACAAAACAATAAGGTCTAAGACATGCAGTTTTGTTTTGTCTATTTTTATTTATACCATAAGTAAAAAACAGCAATGTTCCTGTAAGCATGGGAGGGAGTGTGTGTCCTAAGCAACAAATATAAAAGTGAAGAAATAAAAGGAGAGAACTTTACTTAGAGGGCAATCATCATCTCCAGGAAGGTTGCAAATGCAATCAGGACGACAACCATCAAAAGCCATCCGACATATCCCACATGTTTCGTCTTGAGCATCCCATGTCCATAAAGCAACAGTATGCCAAACTGCTTCCCGGCAGAAATAATCAGTTAAAAGAATAGCAACTCCGCACTGTAAGAGCTGAGATTGTACCAAAGATATATTTATATAAGGCAAAGGGATGAGGAACTTACTCTTTTGGGTATACCGTATACAGGACATAAGTAACATAGAAAGTCAAGAGTAACAATTTCGTTTACAAGCTTAAAAGGCTGGAGAAGATGAAGCCACAAAGGATACTCAAGATCTTAACTTTCATGGCTTCCTCCTACATGGCTAAAGCCCACAAATAATAAAGAGTTTAAAATATGAACCAAACCTCTTCAACGGGAGGGCAAGCCGCAAAGCCTTCTCCCGTTCTCCGTGAGAATGTTATCTTTTCGATTCTTGATCCTTATACGAAAATAAATTGGGCCTGAGTTGATAAAAATAGCCCATTGAAACCCACTAACAAGTTAATTCCATCTCAATATTCGAGAAAAGGGATAACGTTTGAAGGCCCATTAGTAATTGTTTTTATTCTGTAGCCCAACAAAAAAGCCGCCGTTTGTGTATTAACCATATGAAATACGTGGCGTTTTTACGTAGAGTAAACGACGCGCATTCTGGTAGAGAAATGAGGAAACAACTGTTTTTTGTTTGTGGAAGAGCAATTTTGTTTTCTCGATCGCGACCAGTGACCGGAACAAAGTAGAGAAGAGTGATTCTTCGCTTCGATTCAAAGATAAGTCTTTATTCCCTGAGGTCGACGAAATCCGATTTATTCGATCAAAATCTGAAAATTTTATTGAAATCGGAGGAGAATGGACAACAAAAACGTCGTCGTTTGCGACAACGGCACCGGCGTAAGCTTCTTCTCTCTTTCTCTTATATATATATATATATCTCTTGCTGTTGTTTCAGAGTCCGATCTTTAGTTGAATCTGATCAATCATTCCATTTGTTGTCTGGGTTTCGTTAAAAATCTTACCTTTTCGTCTTCTTTGGTGTTGTTAAGGATCTAGTTGTCTTAAAGTTGCAAAATTTGAAATCTTTCATGTCTTACGAGTGTATAAGATCGTATTTTTATTGAAATCGAAACAAATCCATGTTAAATGTGGCAAGCTCATGTTCATGAGTCTTTTTTGCTAAATTTTTCAGTATGTGAAATGTGGATTTGCTGGAGAGAATTTCCCAACGTCTGTTTTCCCCTGTGTCGTGGGAAGACCGTTGCTTCGGTATGAAGAATCACTCATGGAGCAGCAAGTCAAGGTTTGTCCATATGTGACTTATAACATTTGATATCCTTTTGACTGAGCTGATATGTGTAGTTTGATTTCATATACGTTTTGTTTTGTTTCATTTTAGGATATAGTTGTTGGGGAGACTTGCGCTGAGCTTCGACATCAATTGGATATAAATTATCCTGTCCACAATGGTATTGTGCAGAATTGGGATGATATGGAACATGTTTGGGATCATGCTTTCTATAAAGAATTGAAAGTAAATTTCTTCTCCTGATTCTTCTGGAAATTTGGTTTTCCTGTTCCATGTTTCTTGACTTAGCTCTTAAACCTTATTGTGTGATTAACAGATCAATCCATCAGATTGTAAGATATTGCTCACGGATCCACCTCTTAATCCATCAAAGAATCGTGAAAAAATGGTATGGTTATGTCAAGTCTTTGATCGAGAAAATCGTTAATTGCTTTGATGGTTGTTGGAGTGACTCGTTTATGTTGTGAAACAGATTGAGACAATGTTTGAGAAATACAATTTCGCTGGCGTTTTCATTCAAATCCAAGCAGTTTTAACTCTGTATGCTCAAGGTGCTTATGGAGATTATTGAAGGTTTAGATTTTCTTTCGTGTGTATATAACCGACTCACCTGTGAAAAGGATTTTTACGCACTTCTTTGATATTTTTCTTCCTGTGTTGAACTATCGATTTCAGGTTTGCTAACTGGTTTGGTTATTGATTCTGGTGATGGTGTTACTCATGTGGTAAGCTACAGAACTCTATAATATTGAGATTGAGTTTATCTAATAGAGCACTTAACAGTCTCTGCCTCACATCTTAGGTTCCCGTGGTTGATGGCTACTCTTTCCCTCATCTTACCAAAAGAATGAATGTCGCTGGCAGACACATAACAGCATATCTCGTTGATCTACTTTCTCGACGAGGGTGAGAAACTGATTCATAGACTCACATTTTGAAGCCTAATTAACATTTTGATGATCTTTTGAGATGTTCTATCTAAATATTTAAAATTGTTTGTTCAACAGATACGCGATGAATAAGACGGCTGATTTTGAGACAGTTAGAGAAATTAAAGAGAAGCTCTGTTATATAAGGCATGCAAAGACCTTTTGAGTGATTTACTCTTATATCTTAGTAGTAATGCATTACAAGACTAGGACTATAAACTATTTGTTTTGTCTTTGTTTGCAGCTATGATTACAAGAGAGAGTCTCAACTTGGGCTCGAGACAACCATCCTTGTTAAGAATTATACTGTAAGTTCTCTATTCTATGAACCTGTCAGGAATAAAAATATCAAAATTTCTAGGGAAACTAGAACCAAGAACCAAACAAGATAGCAAATTCTTAGCATACTCGAGTCTGTAAAGAAAGTTGAAGATTATTTCCATCTTTTTTTTTTTATCACAGTTGTTTTCATGCCATCTCGTTTGTTATTTGGTTCTCTCTTATCCGATAGTCGATAACGTTTCATACTTATGTCAATTGCAGCCTCAAAAGCTGATATTATCATCCAGATAATTATTTCTGGACTACTAATCTGTTGTATTTCTGTGCTGTGATCAGCTTCCAGATGGGAGGGTCATCAAGGTTGGCACGGAAAGATTCCAAGCACCTGAAGCTCTTTTTACACCGGTAAACTCTACTTTGCTAATTTTCTGTTTCTGAATATTTTCAGCCCTCCAAGAATCTTGAGGCTGATCTCAAAACGAAATCTTTTTACAGGAACTCATTGATGTCGAAGGTGATGGAATGGCAGACATGGTGTTCCGCTGTATTCAAGAAATGGATATTGATAACCGCATGATGGTATGTTTTGCCTCTTACGCTTGCTTCGTATTGCAAAAGAAAGATCAAAATCAAATCAATAATTTTGCTTAAACCCTTTACTCTTTCTTTCACAGCTCTACCAACACATAGTTTTAAGCGGAGGAAGCACCATGTACCCAGGATTACCTAGCCGGTTCGTATAGTTTTTTGTTTATCATAATCCAATAAGAAGAACTTCATGGTTTTATGTTGTAATGTCCTCTGTGCTCAATTTTCTTTTGTTTTTGTTTCAGTCTTGAGAAAGAAATCCAGGATCGGTATCTCGATACAGTTCTTAAAGGAACAAGATGGCTTGAAGGTAACATATCCTGATAACTTCATGATCATTTGTTAGTCATTATCACGGGTTTAACCGGTTTAACATTTTATTTCTGTCTCTTTATCAATCAGAAACTCAGATTGCGGATTGAAGATCCACCGAGAAGGAAACACATGGTATACCTAGGAGGAGCTGTTCTTGCAGGAATCATGAAGGTAACAAAAGTTCAATGCTTTCTCTCTTTTGCCACACGAAATCTGAATTTTAGTCTTCGAAATGATGATGCTAAAGGAATTTGGATTCTATGAATGGTTAATGTTTCAGGATGCACCAGAGTTCTGGATCAATAGAGAGGACTATATGGAAGAAGGAATCAATTGTTTAAACAAGATGGGACAAGCTTAAAAAACTTTATAAACCAAAACTCAAGGTTTTACTTTTTTCTTTTTTTTATAATCGGATGATTTAGTTGCATTTGTGAACATAGCCGATCTTTAACGTTTCAGTACTTAAGGTTTCAAAGTTTGAGTGCTATTGGTTAATCAGAGATCCCTTTTTTTTTTCCAAAGCACATATCCCCATCTTATTTATTTTCATACTAATAGTTAAAACAGATGTGGCGGACACAGAAACAAAAATCTTGTGTAATAACCAAAGTCGACAACATACGAAGACATATCTCTGAGTAGAAGCAAACAGAAGTGATAACAGTGAAAGATATGGTAGTGTAGTTTTAAAACAGAGTCTATTTCTTGCCACACAAGTCAAGATTCCTCTTGAATGGTCTGAAATTCAAAGAATTGAATCCATAAACACAAGAATTAGAACGTTGAGACTTAAACAAGACCTGATCCGTTGTGGTTCTATAACCAGGAATGTTGCAAGAAGAATCCGAGAAGTTTTTCCTTCCGACCAAACTCGCTTGACAAGAACTTGCGAGATTGTCCACGTTGGCACAATCTAGAGAAGTTATGGCTACTTTGTACAGTCCGTACTCGTTGGTGGTTCTGTTTGCAGAGAATGTTACAGTTTCACTCGTTGTTGACGAAGCTGCTTTGAATCTGCAGACAATTCTCACTTCCACACCTGTGTCAAGAAACGTTAGAAACAAAGCTCTTGAAGAGCATTAGTTAAAGAGATCTTCTTTGTGAGTTTGTGTGTTCTTGAATTACCTGACATGAAGTAACTGTGTTTGGAGAAACTGTTGTTGGAGCAGACATCGCAGTAAACAAAACCCATGATAGTGATTTCTGCTTCTGGTTTTGGTTTGGGTGATGAATGTTTTGGAGACAGAGAGTTTACGAACAGAGATTGCAGAAGAATAAACAAAAACATTATCAGTGAGTTCTTCTGCATCTTGACCACAACAAGTTTCAAGCTTGGTTTATTTGTTTATGTGGTTGGTGTAAGAATAGGAGAGAATATGTGTGGGAAGAAAGAAGAAACAAAGGGAACTAGCTTTCAACAAGAAGAGATGGGAACAACTCTATTGAAATAGCTTCAAGGTTCCTTTTTAATATATATATAGAGTGTTATACAAACGTGTCTATATTGATGTTAAATTAACACTAGGGTGAACACGAAGACTCTTATTTTGAAACAAAATTTGAAGTTTAGAATGACACTTAATATGAAACAGAGTTTATAGAATGACATTTAATATGAAACGGAGAGAGTAATAATGTTTTCTTTCTTTTCATGTAAATATGAATCTTTACAAATATAATAGTTTTGTGTTTTTGTAAATTCTTCTTTTTTTTTTTTGTATTTTGAAGATACAAAAAATGAAGATAAACTATATAAAATTATACTATGATGTATGCATGTAGCAAATAGATCGTATATCCGAACTTTTTTTGGTATTTGTGATTCGCTTTATCTTAAAACGGATACAATATCTGAATTTCGGATTGAATTAAAGTAAAAATACCATATGGAAACGGGGTAAAATGGATTATTTTGTTTAGCCCTACAAGACAATCAGAGAGAAAGTGATGGGAGAACAAAGAAAGGCGCATTTGGAGTGAAGACTATAAATGAGAGGAAGATGAACAGAATTAAAGGCAGAAGCAGAGAGAAGATAGTGGAGAGACACTCAGTGAAAGTGAATGTTATAAATGAGAGAATTAAGTGGGAGATAGTGAAGGGGACAGTGACAAGTTTGGTGAGACATTTATTGAGATCTCATGCTCTTTGTTTCTTATTGTGGCTTTCAGTTTTGTAAACTACATTCCAAAAAACTTGGCTTTTTAGAAGTGGAAAGTGATGAGAAAGGTAACACCACCACTTGTGTCTTCTTATTGTTGTATGGACCATTGTATAGTACATTTTCAAAGTGCTTGCAACTAATGAGCCAAATTGCAAACGTTTTGTACTGTTTTCCTTTGGTATGTGATGATGGACTGATCACTGAATAGAGGTGTTTGGTTTGGATACAGTTTTTGGGCGGTTCCTGATAGAGATAAGACAGGTCTAAGGTGTGTAGTAAAGATTTTGCAGAACCATACACAAGATATGTTACAAAGATACTAGAATTAGTTCTGGAAAGGAAAGAAAGACAAAACTCTTTATCTTTATAACGGATGCTCCAAACAAGAGTTTTTCATCATCAGAAGATAAACAACTCTAATAAACCAGCTTTATAATCCCATTGATGAAGCTTTGTTTGAACTTGAGAGGATGAATATATAGAATATGAAGCGCAGAAATGGTAGTTTTAAGTTTTTAAGTTTTTAAGGTCTTCTAGCATAAACCATAGAGAAGCAAAACTTAACGCTTTCATATTTGTTGTTTTGGGACTTGTTCTTCTCACATTATGGTACATGAGCAACAGCTTCTCTGTGGGGTTTCCTCATCGATTTTTTTCTCTGCAAGAGAAGAAAAGGAACAAGATATTACGCTCACGAAACAAGATATTAGGCTCAAGAAAACTCTAAAGCATTCATTCCCCAAACAAGATTTACAGAAATAAGAACAAGATGTGTGTTAAAGAACAATACCTGGTCTTGCTTTTGTTGGAGACGGTTGCACGACAACATGCATTGTGATGACGGATTTAGGGAGGTCATCAAATGGAGCTTTACACTGTGCAACAGTTTTACCATTCTCCAAAATCTTGCCAGCATTTATCAACTTGATGTCACTAGCTGATTTTGGAACAATCTTCTTGTCTAAAGACATCACATTCAATCAAAACCCCAAATCTGATTAGTCAACCAGTATAGCAAAGTAAATGTGACTAAATGAAAGATTTTGTGAAATACATAAGAGCAGAAAGAATAAGAACCGAATTAGTCTCTAAGGACACCACATATATGTTTGGTAGTTTAAGACTAGTGATTAGTAATACAATCAAACTAATTCAAAAGCCTATGCCTTATATCTGATCTGATCGTTTTCTATCAAGCCACAAGTGAAGAAACTGTTAAAACATAGAAACACAAGCTCGATTAACCTTTTTACAAGATCAATAGGTTAAGACGAATGATTAGTAATTGGATCAGATCCTATGATAAGTCTATGACTTGTGTCTGAACTTTGTCTATCAATCCCACAGTTGAAGAAACTGAAAAAAAATGGATGAAGAAAACGTTCTAAAGCCAAATCTAAAGCATTCAAGAGCACTTAAAAATCACATTTTTACTTCTTTCTTCACGGATTAGAGGAGAAAAGGCAAACAAAAAGACTCTGCTCAGTGCTCACCTTTAGGCCACTCGGAGACAATTCTCTCCTTGAGCATTGAGACTGTTGCAGTAGGAGAGTACTGAAAGGGGCCAACATCTGAACCGTCATATAACCGGAATTTAAGTTCTACCAATTCTTCGTCCGGCATTTGATTTTCTCTTTCTCCCACAACAAAAACTCTCACAAGATTACACCAGAAAGAACCCAACCTACAATTAAGAGCACAACGAGATTCTCCAAGTTACAAAGGATCAATAATGAAACTTCAGTTATTGTCGAAATCAAGAACTTGGACCAAAAAACAAAAATACTCAGCGAGGAACATTGAACGAACAGTCAAATTAAATGATCAATTAAGAATAGTCAAACTTTAACCGATCAAATAGTCCAAATCAAGAACTTGGACCAAAGGAGCAAGAAGGACAAGAAGATCGTGAAAAAAAATCAAAACTTGGAACTCATCGCAGAGACCTAAGCTCCGAAACCGTCAGAAAAAGCTAACACAAGATACGCATGTTACCTGAAACTAGAGAGACTCAATCCCAATGTCCGAGTCTGTTGAAATTTTTGATTATCTGGGTTTGCTAGGGTTAGCTTCTTGGGAGAGGGGAGAAGCAAGAGGTAGGAGAAAAACCCAAGAAAGGTTTGTGATTGTGACCTAATCTCTTAACTTATGCTTATGAAGATACAGCTATTTGTTATTTGCTCTTCTCAAAAATTTCTGAGATATCTTTTCTTTCGTCAGGATTGCCGCGTTACAGGGAATCCCTGACGAGTAGAGAAATAAGATAAAAAAGACAAAGAAAAATGTGGAAAAGTATCATTCTTTATTAGTCAAAAGACAAACACTTGTCGGCGTTTTGACCAAAAGACTTTTAAAAGACGAGCAAAACAAACTTGGTCCAATCTGACCTCCATGTAAATTTCAGAGAGAAGAAGCTATGGAATCTTCCCACAGTAAAGTAAAAGATTTTGTTTTTTTTTCTTAAATGTTTACAGAAGCCTTTAATTAGGCGTACGCACAATTAGAAAGCATTCACAGCACATCTTTCAGAACATAAAATCCTAATCAAAATCCCATTGAAACTATATTTAACACAGAAAACCAGAAAAAAAAAGAGTGAGCTCTTTGCTATATGAACGAACTCCTATAGAAACAGATTTACTCTACTGCCGGGTAACAGGTGTCATAGGCACTGATGAATTAATCCCATAGAAACCATCTTGTCCTTGAAACTTCTGGTATGAATTATCGGATGGAGCAGAGGTGGTTGTTGAGAGTGGAGTAAGCCCAGGAACCCAAGGACCTTGTTGTTGTTGTTGTTGTTGTGTGGTTGCCATGGTGTAGTTGAATGGTGTCTGGTTTACAGGCCCGGGAGGCTGTAAGGGCTGCAAAAACTGAGGTTGAAGCTGGAACGATGGTGGTGGTGGCGGTGGAAGTGGTGGTGGGGGCGTGCTGGAGGATGTTGTTGCAGCATTCTGTTGGTGCGGTGGGATATAGGACTGGTCATGGTTTTGAACCTTGGGTCTTTTCTCTGGTGGGTAATCAACGGATGATGGAGATTCTGAAACAGCAGGTGCGTTGTTGTTTCCAATGATGCCTTCAGAGGCTAATGAGGAGAGAACGTAGGAGAGCATCTCTGCTGAGGAAGTTGATGCAGTTAGCTTAGCTACCACTGCGGCTGCTGCGGTTTTTCTTGGGTCTTCAACTGATTGAGTAGGGTTTGAAGCAAACATAACCGGAGCAGATTGTTCTACATCACTGTGTGTGAAGCTTTGTGGTGGTGCTGCTGCAGCAGATGAACCTATGATGGCTCCGTTTGACGCTTCTTTTTCTGTAGCAGGAGGCTGCGAACTACCACCATGGTCCAGAAGCTGTCTGCAGAGATCACCAGTTCGGTCTGATTGAAACCGAGCAATCTGAAACCATAACACAATGAATATCACTTTACTAATATAGCATCAAGACATGGCAACTTTTTGTTTTGAAAAACCAAGAAGACCCCTATTCAAAGTTGGGTCTATCTTCCTTGACCAAACTCACTAAATTATTAGTAGACACGTGAGTCGCGAAAAGTACTGCTATAAGGTTCTCACATATTGTGTGAACTGAAATATTTATAATGTGTGAAGTGCGGACATCACATTTGTTAGTAAAATACAAACCTGAAGATGGTTACGAACTTGCTCCAGCTTGAGTTCCTGGACAAAAAGAAATAAAAGTGAGGTATATGGCAGGAGCAATTAAAATGATTTTTTCTAAGCAGTTGAACAAATCGAAACCTGTTCTTGTAAAGCCTCTCTCAAGTGGGAGATAAGACTTGTTCTGGATGTCTCCATTGTCCCTAACTGTTCGATGCAGTCTCTCAGAATGGCATGCTGTCCCTGCACCTCCTTTACAACAGCGGGTCCAGGGGTGTGTCCTGTTTAAGGCAACACTTATGAAGTAAGATACTGAAACTAACTTCATATGATAGATAGGCAGATGCTTGACCAAGAATTGGATTTTCTCTATCCTGAAAGTAAAGAAGTGTAACATATATACAACAAGTAAATATATAGGCCAGTCCAACAATTCTGACCTTTCTTCGGGATCCAAAATTAACTAAAATGTGTCGGATTATTTTCTCTCACCATTAAATGATTCTCTTCATAATGGTGAGCGTAAGTTCTCTCACCATTAAATGATTGGACACAAATGGTAAGAGCCACCAAATGAAAAGGGTGATTTCGAAAAAAAAGTAATATGAAAACACAAGAGAGGAACATCATGGAATTAAGGATCCAAATCTGGTGGTGTATTAAGATCACATATAAACCAAACACTAAATTGCTAAGCAACTTTTAAAGATTACGGATATGATACAAAGGGAATGTGTTGAAAGAGAGACCAATTGAATGAAGTTTGTTAGCAAACGAATGTAGAAATCTATAGCTGTGTGGTGTGTAATAAGAAGAAAAAAGTATATCAATACATTTGCAGCAATGTTAGCAGCCAGTGGACAGTGATACCTGAACTAAGATCTCTCTCAAGCTCTTCTGTTGCTTTCTCAAGGTAACCAGCAGCATTAGTACATTTTCCAACAATTGCATCCTCATCAAAGTGAACGCCGTGAAGCACTTCAACAGCAGACACTACTTTCTCCAGTGTAGATCCATTTGCCGGTCTCTGTTGAACAGACTGCAACAATAAAAAAAGATCATGTTGCTATCACGGAAGAACTCCAAAGTAGAAATGATCACATAATGGTGGACCTTATTAACAAATGACGTAAGAAAATACTTATATATAAACTCTGACTTACTAGCTTAAGCGGCACAAGAGTTCCATTTCTGGTTCCATTGTCAGGCTGCCTTCCCAGAAGTTCTTCTTTGAGAATTTGTCCACGGGATCCAAAGACTTTCCTTTCTTCCCATATATTAACCTTGGAAGATAAATAATGAAAATTAGCAATGCAGTTCTCATGTCAAAGTCCTAAAAGTATTTCAATAACCGGCGAAAAAGTGGTAGATACAAAGTTGACTTCACATACCAATCGACGTGCAGATTTTCTTCCAAAGTCATCACCATTTTCAATCACATCACGAAGAGCCTCAGGGAGTACTTTCCAGAACTCACCTACAAACTCAGAACCCTTTCGCCTACTATTTTGCAAGATATCATTCGCAAGGTGCAAGTACGCCACACGTTGATCACGTGGGGCACAGTGAAATTGTCTACCCCATGTTTCTACAACATGTCTCGCCTTGTTCATGTGAAAGATACACCAATGTGATAAAGCTGTATACTGTCAAGGAAGAGATACAACAGAACCGTATACAAGGCAAGGGCAAAAGAAGACATAAAAGATGTAAATAAGCAAAGGGAAACTAATGTACATTAAAGAGAGAGTTCCGAATTAAATGTGTTCCATTTATATCAGACACCAAAATGAAGAAACTCAAAATTGGTAAAAACTACCTCAACCCCCAAACGAATTTAGAGGAAATCTGGAGAAATCATACTATACTCTCTTGATAAGAACATACCAAAACTTTCATCTTATACCACTGTACTCTTAACAAGATAGTAATTCTGTCTAGTACTTTCAAAGCACCCCTAAGATTACAGAAACCAACGAAACTACAACCAAAACTAGAATACGAGAAACCGATATATAGAAACAAGAACACACAGACGAGGATACTCTCTATGCTTGCTTGAGAATTGTTGAGCTTGGCAAGCTTCTCAACTAAAATCTGAGCGTTAAATGAACTACCCATTATTTCAACACCAGCTCAAGAACCAGTGCACCTTCACAAATCTGTAGACAAACAACAGTTGGAAACAAGTCAAAACCCTAGAGTCATCCGTCAATCGAAGCAATAGACAAGAAAACAAAAAACAAAAAGGTCAAAAATTTGAATAGTATTACAAAAAATTGAGAATCACAAAGGGGTAAAAATCAATTCTTTTAGCCACCAACTTACGGGAAAAAGCCATGATTTTTTCTACTACACAAACACTAGCGAGCACAAGTAATTCCATAAGACTAAGCGAGAACTAGACAAAAGACACAAGGAAGTGTATAAACAAGTCAAGATAGTGGCTTTAGACATCGAAACTCGTATAAACCCTAATGCGTAAGAGACTAATTTCAGTAGATAGCAAAAAAAAACGAAAACAAGGAGCGTGAAGAGGAGGAAATTACAGAGAGAATCGATCACAAGTAGAGGATTGCTGCGATGATCCTTAACATAAGCAGTGAAGGAGTCAACGACTGAAATAGGAAAATCACGGTGAACGAAGTGGCGCCGTTCTCCGGTAATGTCTCCAAAACCCGCCGGAGAAAGTTTTTGCAGTGTGGGGGAAAGTGTTGGAAATAATCTTCGTCGTGGTTAGATGTGGATGAACCACCCGAGGGGATTTCTTTATTCCTTTATGGGCTAAGGTCTCGTTATTGGGCCCAAGCCCATATATTTCATAATGACATCCTATATATGAGTTTATAGTACTATAGTAATTATGCTATTTTATATAGGGTTTGAAATACACAAATCACAATTATACATCTCAGTTTTAAAATTTCATAATTTTTCCATATGAAAATTCATATAAGAAAAAAAACATAAAAAGTAAGGAATATGTAAAAAAAATTTATTGATATATTTAAAAAATATTGATCAATTATTAATGTTGTGTATTCTAGATTTTCTTTCAATTATCTTTCACATAAATTAATGTAGTTTCAAATTATTAATTACTCGAATTATAAGAGCAAGTAACAAAGCAGCAGATCATCTTTGTTAAGTCCCTACTGCGTTTAAATGAATCCTTTGTATTTCATTATTATATTCCTTGTGGTTTATCATGTAACATAACTCGTTAATTATCAATAATATTATACGTTACAAAAAAAAAAAAAAAAATAGTAGTAGGAAGATAACAAGGTATTTATATGTGTGAGTGAAGTGTGAAGTGTTTAAGGACAAAGATTATGATCTTGTTGATATAGTCTTATTATCAGATAGTTTAACTAGATTTTTGATAATATTACATATTCAAAACGAAAATTCATTTTTTAAAATTCCTTTAGAGATTGAAAATGCATTGACTTAATGCTAAAGTTGGAATGCTAATTTTGTATGATGTAAAAAAAAAAAAACATTTCGATGGCGGCTGTTGATAAAACAACAAGAGCTTTTGCTTCGATATTTTGCATTTTTCCAAAACCTTTCAACAAAATAATAATTTTATTAAGCTTCATTTACTTATATGAAAGTTGATTGCGTTGGAGTTTTAATCTTATCTTAACGAGAAGTTGTTATCTATTTTGGAATACATGGTGTTTCTTCTTTTTCGTAGCATTATATTTCAATGGAGATTTCAAAGGATTAAAAAAAAAAAAAAATCATGTTATGAATGTTTCAAGGAACACATGTTAGTTTCTCAACAAAACACAAAGTTATTAATGGATCGGCAGTTTCTTCTTTATAGTAAATCAAAAAGATATCGGTAACGAGAGTCAACATAAATTTTAAAACATCCAACTGTATATAAAAGCTTATAACTGTCTACGAAAATTAAATGCATAAAATTTAAAACATCCAACTGTAAGTTTTTAAGCAATGATCATTAACATTATTGAATTTAAAAAGTCATCTAAGAAAATTATTGGTTGATAGGTTTTTTTGTAACTTTCAAAATTTTGAGATTTAAGTATTCATTGGATGACAAAAAAAAAAAAGATATTCATGAATTATAAATTGTTACAGTATTTAGAATTGTATTGTTATTTTGGTGATTTTTAAAATCTTCTTACAAATAACTTTTTTGTGTAAATGTTAATAGAATTTTTTTGGTGAAAAAAATTTCGGCACCAACTCTTTCTACCAACATTTACAGTAGAACCTACAAAGCTTACTGAAAAAACTGAACCTTAAAATATTTACTGATTACTTGACTTTATGAGCATTACGATGGATTTCTTATCGTGAAATGGAGGCGCTTTGGATTCCCCATTAACAATTATATTTGGCTTATCTAACTTAGCATTGAATGTTAAGAAATTTAGGTTATCTGTTTAAAAATTTGTCATTGCAGAGCATCCGTGATCGCAGTTTTAGTAGATTCACAATTACAAATCGCTAATTAAAGAATAAGGGGGTGTTATTGGTTTGTGAGTTATATGGAGTTTTAATGACTTTATATGTTAGGTAGAATCTATTGTTATTCAATCAAGATTTTACAAAACTCTTTTAAAGTTTGGTGTTATTAGTTATTTATTTGTAAAGAGTCATTTAAAATCTTCATAAATATGGGATTATTGGATACAGAGTTTTACAAAGTCATTAAAAGTTCTGTGTTATTCAATTAAAACAAAAGAATCTCTGATTGTTAATGAATTAAAATTTTATGTTATTGGTTTATGATTTTAAACACTCTTCTTTACAAAATAAAGTCATGAAAAGTATCTTATAAATACAGAGATTGTTTGAGAGACTCTACAAGACTTTAAAAAAACTAATCAATAAGATTATATAAAACTCTCAGACAATCCTTTAAAATCATACAATCTATGATTTTAGCAGAGTCATCCAAATTCTTTATAAGTTAGAATCCAATAACACCCCCTAAAAAGTTAGTGGAGAATTTTAGATTAACCTAATACAAAATAAAATATTGTTTTATTGTTAAAATATCTATTAGAAAATAATCAAAAATATCTAAAGAGTTTCCCGAAAACTAAAACTTAAAAGTTTGCTGAAAACTACTTGCGTAATTAAGATTGATGTTGTGACGTAGTTAAGTGATCTATACTTTTTTTTTATTCAAAGAATTTAGTTTTTCTGTGAAAATGAATTATGGGAATTTTATGTAAAATGCCACTTTCAAAACTCAAACTTTTAAAACTGCCACTTTCAACTTTGTATTTTGTAAAATGCCATATTCATTTTTATTGTAAAATAAAAAGACAAAAATGCCCTCAAAGAAAGAAGACAAAAAAACATAAATCAATTATGGACATTAATTAATAGACAAGTTTTTTTTTGTGCCGATACTCTTTGCTTTTACTATATACGTATAATGGACAACAAATTAAGAAACAAAAAATGGACATATTACAGACATCAGATCTAGTCCACCGAATCTAGTCCATCAACGCACAAATGTGTGATCGAAAGTGTATACCTAGATGGATCATTGATGATATCTTCCATAGAAGCATCATTTGTTTTATCTTCTGCTTAATTTCTTGTGGTTTCAAGAAATCTGTAGGATGGACAAGTTTGGTCTACCGATTCTGGTCCACCAGATCTGGTCCATCAAAACTGGTTATGGTCCGCTGTAACTTCTTCACCTGATATGATCCACTGAAACTGGTTTGCCGGATCTGATACTCCAGAATTGGTCCATCGAAACTGGTCTGTCATATCTCGTCTATCAGATATGGTCTACTGAGACTGGTTATATTCCGTTGGAACTGGAACTGGTCCGCCGGAACTGGAACTGGTCCACCGGAACTGCAACTGGTCCGCCGGAACTGCAACTGGTCCGCCGGAACTGGTCCACCAGAAATGGTTCGCCGGAACTAGTCTGCCGAAATTGTAGAGAAATTTGTTTGTTGTTGAAGAAAGATAAGATGAAAGAAGAAGAGAAAGAAAGAAAGAAAAAATGAAAGAAGAAGAGAAAGAAACAGATGAGAAAAAATGAAAGAAAAGAGAGAAAGTTTGAGTGAGGGATAGAATTGACATTTTAATAAGTTAAAGTGGATCCTATGGCATTTCTTAGAAGATTGGAATGAAAGTGGCATTTCTTAGAAGAAATGACACTGTTCATGGCAGAGAATACAATTTTCTCATGAATTATATACTAATTCACGTGAGTTTGAAAATACGATTATATACTACTCAAACTATTTATTATTTAGTAGCCAATCCTATTATTATTGATGTAGATGAACCACTTGGGCACAAAACAAGAAAAATGCCTCTAAGCTTATGAAGTCTCGTGCCTTGAATGGTAATAGATTTCCTTAGTTAAAAATACAGAAATCCAAATCCCATGGTTTTTGGTGAGATTTGAAAGAATTTTACAAAAGTCATATGAACTTCCCTAAAATAATCAAAATCATTTAAAAACTCAATAAAACTCAAATCTCTTAAAATTCCATTTTGAATACACCCTTCTGTTTTCTTAACAATTTTTAATGGAAACCAAAATCCACATATTTGAGATTTTAAGAAAATACTAACAACACTTCTAATAAAATATAAAAAAACCAAAAAATAATATATATTGCAAAATTAAAAACCTAAAATCAAAAACCAAAAGTTAAAAACCAAAAACCATAATCTAAAAACTATTTAAAAACCAACAACCATTCATGGCTTCATAAGACCAAGCCTATATAAGTTATGGGCCTTTAATAGCTATAGTTAGGCCCAGTATAGTGTTAAAAATTTGACTTTAATAGCTATAGTTAGGCCCAGTGTAGTGTTAAAAAATTGACCCGTTGAAGTAGTTTAACGGCCACCGACACGAACGTATCAAAAACGGCGCCGTGCCGATCGCATCCAAAGCTCCCACGACGGAGAAGAAACGATGAGGAAGAGATGAAACGCGGTGGATCCAGACGGAAGCGATTGTTCGGGAAGACAACGATTCTTTTATCATCTGTGATTTTCTTTATCGGTTTTGGCTTGTTGTTGCTCACTCTCCGTTCCGTGGATCCTAACTCGTCTTTCATCGATGACGACGACGACGACGCCGGTTCGGAATCCGAGGAGGCTGCGAGATGGAGCAACTCCTCTTCGATTGGAGATGCTAAGGTCGATGGAGGTAGGCTCTGTGCGACGGTAGAAGAGATGGGAAGCGAGTTCGATGGTGGTTTCGTGGATCAAAGTCTCAGAGTTAGAGATGTTATCCGTCGCCATTTTCAAATTAATGGTGAGAAATTGTGTGTTTGAATCGATTGGTTAGTGTTTGGCTAGTTACTTGTTTAGTGAAAGCAAGATTTTTTGAATCCGATTACTCTGATTTAACAAAGTGTGTATTTTTATTCCGCTTGCTCTAGATTAATGTCTGGAAAACTAGTGCTTGTATGTATGAATGATGATGATGAAGATGATTCTTGTGGTTTGCAGGCGCTTCAGCTGTTCGTGAGCTGCCTCCGGAGCAATTTTGTAAACATGGTTATGTTCTGGGGAAAACAGCAGAAGCTGGATTTGGGAACGAAATGTACAAGATCTTAACCTCAGCGGCATTGAGCATAATGTTGAACAGATCCTTGATCATTGGCCAGACCAGGCATATATTGGTTCTTTCTCAATCCTTTTTCTCTATTTCTTGGGAACTATATTAACTGATTCAGAACCTGAGCTGTTACTTTGCTTGCTGTAGTTTGTGTTATTTGTCTTGTTTATATTTCTTTCTCTGTTTATTGATCCTCAGGGGTAGATATCCTTTTGGTGATTACATTGCTTACTCCAATGCTACACTTACCATGACTGAAGTGAAGCATCTGTGGCGACAAAATGGCTGCGTGAAGAAATATAGAAGGCGGCTTGTAATGAGATTGGATGATTTCGAGAAGCCGGCTAAGAGTAATGTCTTATGCAGTAATTGGAAGAAATGGGAAGAACCGATAATATGGTCAGTGAGAAGGAAACAAAAGATACAACTTTTTTGTCCATTTTGTGAAGTTATAATCATTAACTAAGCGTAACATTTGGTTTTCAGGTTTCAGGGCACTACAGACGCTGTGGCAGCTCAGTTTTTCCTCAAGAATGTGCATCCAGAGATGAGAGCTGCTGCATTTGAGTTATTTGGAGAGCAAGGAAACTCAGCACCAAAAGCAAATGTGTTTGGAGAATTGATGATGAGTCTCATTTCTCCCACGAAAGATGTGAAAGAAGCAGTTGACTGGGTTCTAAAGGAGACTGGAGATCCTGATATTTCAGTGCACATGCGCATGTTGATGAGCAAGTATGTTACAACTCAAGTATGTTTTTTTTTCACTAGATGGCTTACTAATCTTCCGTTTCATGATTTCTCCAGATCTGTTCGACCTATACGTGCAGCGATAAACTGTCTAGGGAAAGCAATTAACAGACTTGGCATATCAAAACCGAGAGTAGTTATAGTGTCTGACACACCATCTGTAGTGAAAACTATCAAAACAAATATCAGCGCAATTGCGGAGGTATTAATGATCTATTAAACTCGCACTTGCTATAATCTTTCCAATAGATTCTCCAATTTCATTGCCGGACTAAAACAGTTGCAATGGTTTGCAGGTTCTACATTTTGACTATAAGCTTTTCAGAGGTGACATCTCCCAACGTGGCCGCGGATTGCCAATGTTAGATTTCAGAATAAAAGATTGGGGTCCTGCACCGAGATGGGTTGCATTTGTAGATTTCTTCCTCGCATGCCGTGCACAACAGGCGGTGATATCCGGTGCTAACAGGCGAGTCGGGACCACATATGCTCAATTGGTTGCTGCATTAGCTGCTGCAAATAGTCTCAGTTAAGACCTTACCTTAGTTTCCTCAACACTTGCGTCTCTTTTCATTTCTCAGTCGTCATTAATACTACTACTTGACTGGTTTTTTAACTGGTTAATTTACAGAGGACGGTTCGAGCAACTCGAGCTTTGCTTTCCTGAGTAGCTTCCAGAGCAACTTATTAGCAGACGGTCTGAAAAACCAGGTGGGTTGGGGACATGTATGGAACAGATACGCTGGACCGTTAAGCTGTCCAAAACAGCCAAACCAATGTGCCTTCACGCCGCTCGCACCTCCCGGTTGGTGGGACGGTTTATGGCAATCGCCCATCCAAAGGGACACTCGTAGGCTTGCAGCTTTTGGCATTGAGCTTTCCGGGTTTGGTACGGTTAATGAAGACCGGTTCCATGCTTATTGTAGCACCAAGAAAGAGTACTTAAGCACTGTAACAATCATTTAGTGAGACTTCTTGAATATTTTTTCAGGTCTCTTGGTTTTACACTTGTACTGTAGTCACTGGTATTTAATATTTTATTCCGCAAATCTGTTTTCTCGTCTTAAATTTTAACCGGATCCAAACCGAAATCTAGTCAACACAAATTGACCTTTAAGCTTCATTATTTCATGACATTTTTGTATTCTACAATATGTTTATATCTTTTGAAATAACCATTCAAAATTTTACGTAGAGCATGTTTATTTAGAGTTCAAAAAAAAAAATTATTAAAATATAAATAGTATAATAAATTTATAGTCAAACATAGATAACCTTCCTATAAAACTTTTTTTATTTGGTGAAGTTTCTGTAAGAAAATTTAATACCATATGATATTACCAAATTATTACCCTTAAGAGCTTGAGAGATAAGTAACATTTATAATGCAGACATGGATTACGTGTCTTTTGTTATGCTTACCTTATCAAAAACCCTTCAGTCAAACTTTTGATTTCCTTTTGCTAGCTGTAATCCAAATCTGATCTTATCTCTAATCCTCTAGTTTTATATAAACCCCTCTTGTTTCGGACCCCAAATCTCATTCCTTCTCAATTCCTTATCATCATCACCTTTTAATCGAGAGTCATCCCCAAAACTAGAATCTCTTGATCTTGTTTTGTAGGTCAAATTAGTTATCAAGGCGTTTTCACGAAAAGAGTGTTGGAAAGAACTCTTAAAGTGGCCTTTATGTGTCTATCAGTCTATGTGAAGGTGTAAACATTAGACCAGTGATCACCGAAGTAACCTATACATTAATTATTTATTGTGTCTGCCTATTACAACACTAACCGATAGATTCATCTTATCATTGCAGGTTCAAACTTGAAGGAAAATTTAAAAGACATGGAGAAAGAACAAACAAGCTTCGATGTCTTTTAAGCTTGCTTGTTCTTTCTCCATGTCTTTTAATTGTCCTTTAATGTTTGAACCTGTAACGAAAGGAGGAATTCATCAGTTAGTGTTGTTATAGTTTTACAGGCACACACAATAAATGATCAAATGTATAAGTTACATCTGCTCTGGATTACATCATTGAATACTCTCAATCGAGGATAAGAAAAACTAGGCCAAAGGACGAATAGGAGCTATGTAGAGGGCAGGGACATCGAATGAGATGAATGGAGTATTGAAAAAAAAACTTGCTCTCTTGAGAGGAGGAGAGTCGTGGATGAGGCTTTATCTTGGGCTGGCAAGTGCATGCATGGCTCTCAGCCAACAACGTCGAGTCCTAATTAAAATTGTTGAAGATGAAAAAATATATTTCTCAATGTTTTTTTTCTTCTTCTATATTTAAATTGACTCAAAAAATTTGTTATTTTCGTAATTATTTTTGTCATTTTCTGTTTTATAGCATATATATTAGAATGTTATACATTACAATGCCATAAGTTTGTCTTTATTTTGAATTTATCTACAAATTATTAAGTTTTTTCTTAAAAAAAAATCAATAATAAAGCCCAACATAATTATGTACATGTAAAAACAAACATTGTTTGTTAAAATAATAAAACAACACGAATCTTGCGTTTTGTCTCTTTTCCATTTTTTTCCTTTTTTGCGGACAAATTATTCAGAGATTAATCTGATGAAGCAATTACGATTTGATGATCATCAAACTATTGGGGACATGATCTTAAGCAGTTGTATATGATGTTTTTGTTTGTCCCCAGTTATTTTGCAACTTTTTGACAATCAAAGATATGTTTGGTTGTTCAACAATTAGGTTATGAGCCCCGCCATATATTGTATTCTATAAGGAGAAAATTATCTTCCTTTTAAGCTGGTTTTTTTTTTTAAGTTTGACTTTTTGTAAAGCTGCATGATGAGTAAAGATCAGAAAATGAAAAGGTCCTCAAGAAAGTGCATCAAGAGATGAGAGCTGCTGCGTTTGAGATATTCGGAGAGCAAGGAAACTCGTCATCGTACATGCAAATGTGTTTGGAGCTGTTGAATGGGTTCTACGGTACTCTACAGGAGTCTTGACATTCTGATATGTCAGTGCACATGCGAATATTTATAAGTATATATGTTACAACGCAAATATGTGTTTGTGTTATCCTTTGGTTATCTTCTGCTTCTTGATCGTGTTTTTGATTTTCCTTGAGCATCATTGTAGTGACTAGTGAAAATGAATTCAGATTTACTATCTTTGTGAGCCAACTGTAATAGACTAGTTCGGACATAAAAACAACAAAACATTTATGATTACTTTTCCATCAAGAAACAGAGTGCAATAGTAAATAAAAGATAGTGAAACCTTAACAACGATAACCAAGTCCTCTTGATGTTCCAAGTTTAAAAAGCACTCTAAATCCCAACTCTTTTCCCTATTAATCACCGAACATCATTCTAAGAACTCAAGCAGAGCATTTATGTCTGCACACTTCACCTTCAAGTCTTTCACCTCTTCCTTAATTTCTTGCAGCCGAGTCACACCAGAATCTTTCAGTTTCTTCTCCAACCAAGCCAACTTATAACCTGCTTTTGTCACAAAACGTAGTATAGAATATGCCTCGGCCAGATCAGCATTGGAGAGTTCCTCAGGGGACTTGCACAAAATCTCAGTCAGACTTAGGACATGTGCATCGGAGGGACCGATATAGATCCCAAATTTTTTTTTTCTTTTTTTTTTCCTTTTTACAGAATTTAAAAAAAAAAAACAAAAAAAAAAATTAACCAATCGCGGGCCGCCACGTGTCAGTAGGGCCCGCGAATGGAAGAGGGACAATCCCG